TTTGATGATTGTATCAAATATGATAAATTGTTGACGTGCATTGCTATTTCAAATTACCAATATAGTTTAAAGTGTTACAAAGCTAGGGAGCATAATTATATATATATCATAGCAAGCAATTAAATCAGCGGATAATTTTAAGTTTAACTTTGAGTGATAGCACCATTACTTAATACTGTAAATAATTGTACGAATTATGCAAATTTGTCAATTGTCATCAATTATTCTCATAAGAATTTATTTTATTCACAAATGAAAACTTCAACAGAAAATATATCGGAGAAACACTGGAAATGGTTTTTTTCAGTTTAAAATAATTGAAGATTTCATTATTTATTCATTCTGAATTGTCATCTCTACCATTTACATCAATAGCATGCGACCAAAATATCGCGAAACTGTAAAAATAAGTAATTTTCTTAATCAAATAAATTATGGACAAGTATATGTGAAATTAAGTGAATAATGCCATACAATATTGAAGATTACATAATAGTGTCGGAAGGAAAACATTGAATAAATATGAGCAGTTCAAAGTTTTAAAAGATAATTTGATGTGGTGAATTAAATTATTGATTATGGTAGTACCATAAGATGTGTGTGGTAGTCCTGAAAAAGCAATTAAGGACTAATAATTGCTCAAACAGTTGCATTGAATTCGTCGGTAATAGTTTAATTGCCTATCTCACCAAACCAGCAAATATCTGAGAAGTTTTTAAATCCTATAAACTTCCATTATAATATTTAATATTTAGTGATAAACATTATTTGACTATAAGTAAATATTTGTTATTAATGATTTGTATCATTTATTTTTTTGTATTCTCAAGTATTTGTGTATTACAGTTATTGTTTATTGCATATAGTTCGAACGATATTAAATATGACGTATGTAGAAGACTAAGATATATATGTGTAATTAGTAATTATCAACGATTGATATTGGAAAGATTCCCAAATGATAGATATAAACGAATATATTAGAATTAATAAAGCCTGTGATAAAGCATTGAAAATCAATAGAAAGTGATAGCGAGTATTTTTGAAATTTTATTACACGAACAGAAATATTCATCTACTTAAATCTTTTAAAAGTTTTAAAATGAAATTGACATAGCAGTGTTGAATACATAAATCCAGGGTTAGAAATTTATTTTATTATCTTTTGGATTTTCATAATGTAGTATAATAATCTGTCTTCAACAAATATATTTGCAATCATCCGACCAGTTGTCTTATTTTATTTGAGAATTTTGATAGAATCATAATTTTGTACTTATACTTCAAGTATTTTAGCATTCAATTATATTTTGTTTTTGAAATATTTTAAGGCGAACATACGCAATTTAATTCCAAACATGTTCATGAAATAAAATTTCAGACATTTTGAACGATTATATTTTTTCACCAATTCAAAGAAACCCAAATTCTACTGGATAAAATTGGTCAGCATGTGAAACATTGAAAAAATATCAGAGGTTTGAAAATCATGCGATTCTTGAAAATTCTGTAGGATAGGAGTAATCCAATAATGCCTTCGAGAATCTCGAAAGGAACAGTAAAACAAATTGGATTTATTCTCATTTAATATGCAACGCTAACTAACGGAAGTCCATTTCATTGATCAATTGGAATTATGCATTCCCTAAACAATAACGCAAAATTCCTAACGATTTTGTTAAATGCTTTTATATTACATACTGTCTTATGCTGTTTCAAATGTAAAACATTGATACTATAATAGGAATTAATGAAATTAATTAATATTTTTCTTAGTGTGGTATCACAGTGGGAAGATGACTTTTGCATGTTATGCTGTACACTTTTCAATATTAAATTTAATTCTTTTAAATTTTCATCACTTAATCCAGTTTATAAAAATCCATAGAACTTAATTATAATAATAGTAATTATGATATCATAATAATTACAATAATAGTAATAGTGATAATCAGTAATACAAATGGCAAACAATTATTGGAACAGACAATAATTAAATGATAATACTTTTATTCTATCTGGTGATTCTTATGAAATTCTGACAAAGCGAAGGATGCATATTGCAGAGGAATCTTAATAATTCTTTTGCAGAACTTTCATCAATAGGTGATTGATTGATATTAAAAGGTAATCCCACTGATGGAATGGCTGCTGTGTGAGCAGCCGAGGCTGAAAATAAATCACCTGAAGTGATTAATCGGAATAATGATGCCTTTCGTGAAATATTTCAGTATTTGACTTACTTGAAAAGATTAAAGACGTTTAAAATTCAAAAAAAAAAACTCAAAAAATAGTTTGAATAATAGGTAATGTGCTTTAAAGCCAGCAAAATCTTTCAGTCTATTATTAATATGTCAATATTCATTATAAAATTATAAATTAATGATTTTAATTAAAATTCGTGTTGGTTGATAATTTCAAAAATATTCATTTAAAATAACGATTTTATTACCGCGATGATTGTTATTATCGAGACCAGATGATTTACATCCGTATGTCCATGTAATTAATGAAGAGAGTAAAATTATAGGAAGAAAATGCATGACTTTTCAACGTCCGTACGTCAATGTTTTGTAGATGATGAAGTGTAGATTATGCTGAAAAAAGATTTGCAATAATAGTAAGTAAAATAATGCTAAAAAACGAATCATAAGAAAAAATTTTTAACTAACTTTTTGTAATTTTCTGCTCAGTAGCTCTTTTTTTTATTAAATTATCACAAATAGTTGTTTCTATCCAATGTATACAATGAAATAATTGTGCAAAAATTATAATAAAAATTTAAATCAAAAGCATATAAATGAGAAAAGACGTAAAATATATTAAATTAGCTTGAGAGTTGAAAGACGAGAAGAACTTGCAAACATTTCCCACATGTTACCTGTAATTCACCTGCTGTTTGCTATCATTACACCTGTCCATACATATATATCGCTATCTTTTAGTTTCTTTTATTTGTATAAAAGTCGTAAAATTTTTTATGAATGGCAAAAATAAAATTGCTTAAGCTAATGTTTTCTACAAAATTTTATTACAAAAATTTATCATCGTCAAGAAAAAATTTTTATATATTCTTTAATTGAATCAAATATCTAAACTAATTTGTAATTTTAACTTTCTCCTTTTTTAAAGAATACATATAACTATTAAGTCCAATTTTTTTGTTCATTTTATCAAAATTTTGCAAAAAGTTTTCATTTTTAATTAAAGTACAAATTTTTTATTTTTCAAAAATAACTGAATGATATTTACTAGCAATAGAAATGTATCATCTAAACATTTCTATCACGAATGCTTTTTAATTCTTTCTGACATTACAATGTGATCGATGTGTATTTGTTATTTATACCATTATCGCTAACGATAAATCAACGTTAAAAAATGTGTTATATTGATTTTATATAATCATTTTATGAAATAATCAACCATAATTTTATCTAACTGTATTTGAAAGAACAATTTATTTTTAAAAATTCTTTAAATCTGCCACATGATTTTTGAATTTTCTGTTTAATACCAATACAATTTTTGCAATTTAATGCCATGTTGATAAACGATTTTTTAAACAAATGAATTCTCAATCAATTCCATAGAAGTTAGTTATTAGTTTCATTGCATTTGAATTTATCATTCGCATTACCAAAAATGAAAATTTAGCTTTAAGAACCTGGTGTTTTATGAAATGAAATGACTGATAAATTGTTTTATTTCAATTAAAAAAATTATTAAATTAGTAGATATATTTAGTATCGATCGGAAAGATATTTAGAGAGAATAAGAGCAAGGAGAATTTTTTAATTTAATTAACTTTTGATTTTTTATTTTCCCAGAGTATAACCTATCATCTCTATTTTCAATCAATCTTAAATTTGTTCATTCAACTTTTGCTAATAAAAAAATGCTAATTGAAGTAAATTAATCATAAATCACTATAATAAACAAACACAATTATTAATTTTCAAGTTATTCCAGATATTTTCATTTGCCAAATATTAATATGCAGTCTGCTTTTATCTTTTGTTGAAGATGGGAAGAGCTAAAAATTAGTACTAAATATAGGAATATAAATATTTTGATACATCAGTAAATGATGATGCATGGATAATTGGAAAATTTTCCAACGCAATTAATACTTTTCAACTAAAATAATGATCAATTAAACATTACAATTAATAAATAATTATAAATGTTTTGTCATTTTGCATAATTTATTTTGCAGTTTGCTTTCTATATGCTGAATTAATTCAAAAATGATAATATTATTCAAACAGAAAGAGAAAAGATGAAACATTTGCGGTATGATTTAAAATTGATCTTAGAACATTTTTATGATAACTTTGTGAGAACAATGAAATGCGATAGTATTATAATTTCAAACATTCAATAAAACGATTATTCAATCAGAAAAAAGTATTGTTTGAGAATGAATGAATGAAATTAATGCAAATAATCTGCGAAAATTTTCATGCCTTTCTTTTTGTTATAACAATTATTAAGAATTATCGAAGAAAGCATTAAAATCATATATAAAAAGACTGTTCCATTCCAAAAATCATGCATAATTTCTCTTCATTCTTATCATATGCAACAATAACTTTAAAATGTTTGATCGTTGTTATTAATGTTGAGTTAAATAAACATTTCGGTTGTATCATTTTACCTTAAAATGAAACAGTATGTCATTATATTAATTTTATATAATGTTTGACAATATTTAAATTACACATTAATATTTTTCAAAGTCAATTTTATCTTATTTTAATTAGAATAATATCAGTTGTAGATCACTGCGATTTTCGCATGTTCTACGATTTTTTTGGTGGTCAATTATAATGTTTAAAGAATTGTTTTTATTGGTTTAAAATTTTGTTATCCAAGTTGTTATCAAATATATGTTGCAGATTTGATAAAGTTGGTTATTGGTTGTGGTCAAATTTTCCGTAATAATGTTTTTTCGCATCGCAATGAGTTGTTCCATTTTTCTGGTAGCACGTAGCTGTATGACGACGCAAGGTTGGTAATACTTTCAATTTCATATTTATTTTTTTTTAAATATTTATTAAATCTTATTAAATAAATTGTTTCTTTCTATTTGGTCTAATCATCCTTCTTAATCAGTTAACATGTGTAGTATTGAATTAAGCAGTGTGATTGATTTTAAATTTTAATCAGTATTTTGCTATTTCAGAGACCAGTGAGATAATTTTAAAATTTGCGACACTAGCAGATCAAAATACTATAATTTGCCGTATATCTCCCTGCTTTTTTAACCTTAATCGTAACCAGGAAACACCAACCGCTGTTACTACGAAAGTGCCATCAGTAACTACGATTGCAAGAACACTGATCAAAGAGCCCACAGCCGAAGAGTCTATGGTCCATGAACCCATAGCTGAAGAGCCTATAGTCGAAGAGCCTACAACCGAAGAACCTGCAACCGAAGAACTTACAGTCCAACAGTTCATAGCCGAAGAGTCAATAGCCCAAGAATCCACAGAAGAGCCCACAGCCGAAGAGTCTATGGTTCATGAACCCATAGCTGAAGAGCCTATAGTCGAAGAGCCTACAACCGAAGAACCTACAACCGAAGAGCTTATAGCCAAACAGTTCACAACCGAAGAATCTGCGATCCAAGAACTCTTAGCTGAAGAGCCTACAGCCGAAGAGTCCACAACCGAAGAGCCTATAGCCGAACAGTCCACAGCCGAAGAGCCTACCAAAATCCTAACTAAATTTCCCTCAATTCGACGTTTCAAACAATCAAAAACGTCGAAAAAAGCGACGATAGATTTCCGCATGAAAATAAATGAAGTACTCTATGATTTTGGAATTCAATCTAAATTAAAGTTATCGAACATTCTGAAAGTTATTCCTCTAATCATTATTTCTCTTCTCTTTTGAGATCTTTCTTTGTTAAAAAATACTTCCTGAAACGAATCTGAAATTGTTTGATTTCTTAGCGATGAAATTTTTAGAACAAAAAAATTTGTTGGAAAAATTAATAATCAGAATTTTTTCAAATATAAAAAGTTATAAAAATGCTAAAAATTCTTATGCTTTTCTTTTTTATAACCAGCAGTTGGAATGAGAAAGAAACAAGATAGGCTTTGAGAATCTGTCTGGTTATTTCTGACAACATACTTTCACAAATTATTTAATTTCATTGAAGAGAAATTTAAATATTTATGACATCCTTTTTTCTTATAAAATTTTATTTGTTTTTACTCTAAGATTTGTTTTTGTAATTAAATGAAACGTTATTCCATTTCAAATTGAACTCAACCACAAAATAAATATATTTACTACAGAACGCTGTAATCTGGATTGAATCTCCGAAAAAAAAGTATTCAAGGAACAATCGTCGCATCATTGGAAAAGGATACATGTGAGATCATTATTGCATTTGCTAATGCTAATAGTGCTATGGTAAGGCTATTAGCTTTTCATTAACTTTCAGTTTTATTTTCAAAATTTAACTCTACGACGGTATTAGAAGAGAATTGGCAAAAGTTAAAAAAGTGAGAATTAAAACTTGAAAATTGAAGTTGAAGAGAATTAACTTTCACCTTACCTTTTCTTTCTATTTTATTGAACATTTTTCGCCTGAATTCAATTATATCATTATAACTTATTAATAAAAACTTACTTTATAGACAGATGCAATAACGATAACTAACAAAACCAGTATGTCTCTTATTTTAAATTTCTATTATATATTTAATTTTTCTAATTAAATATGAAATTAATGACGGTATGAATGTGAATGTGCCTATGTAATCAGTCTTGATCATCTCAGAAATAATTTTTACGAAAGTTACTATTTTCTACAATCATACGTGTGTGTTTCACGTGTACGCGTGCATAGTATATGTATACTGGAGTGATGTGAGTAACGCATTTATTATTTCATTTGATTTTTTCAGAAAATACTGATCAAATTGCACAATGTCGATTTCACCCTTTTGCGCAAATTTTGGTTGAAGAAGTGTTTGTGACATATTAGAAAAAATTAACAAAAGTTTTTACAAATGTATGTTGCATTTTTAAAACAGTGATTGATGAAACATGGAGTTCAATACATTGATTATTAAATAAAGTTCTGACAAGTTTTCTTCCTTTTTAAGTATGTTCTTTTTTAAAAAGAATGTATGTTGATGGAGGGATGTTTTTG